TACTGCAATAAATATTGTGCTTTCAGAAATGACATCAAACATTCATGTATTTGTTCTTGGTATTGATGAAATAAATTCACTTTACTCAATTGATCAACAAACTCTTTGTCAAGTAGTACATGTGATTGGTGGACTATCTTGCATGCGTGGGAAAATATTTTTCATACCAATTCTATCTGGAACTATCCAAGGTCCTATGGAAGAGCTTGTACAAAAATCAACCTATCTGCTTTTACAACTCCCACTACCTCTCCTTCCTGATAAAGACATGTTGTTCATTGCGAGTTCACTTGGATTTCCTAATGAGTATATCTTGAAAAATAATGTATTTCGATGCTGTCTTGCTGGTATTGGTGGAATGGCTCGAGCTATGGAGCTCTTTTTCCATCTCATCATTCAACAACAAACCCATAATGAGAATGACTTGGAAATTACTGACAAAACACCAATCAACTTGCTAAATCATGTTGATATTGTGGAGGTAATGACTAAACTGATGATAGATTTGACAGAAAAATACCCTTTCAAAACATACTCAGAATTTGCAATGCCAATGCTGGCAAATGCTATTTTGGAAAAACCAGTAATGGAATCTGATGGCTTTAATATTATCAGGCAAGAAGACACAAAGTATAAAGAATACTTTGCAACTTACAAGGAAATCAAGTCTGCAGGCATCATAAATCTTGAACCTGCTGATAATGGTGATAATGGTACTGGAAAATGGTACAAAATCCGCTTGCCATACTTGTGGTTATGTATTGTTGTTTCTGTAACTTCTGCAAATTCACCCATTAAAAAATGGATTCGATTTATTGATCCACAACAACCAGTCTATTGGCAGGATTGGGAAGTTTTTAACATGGAATTTTGGGCATTACGCCTATGCCTCTTATCATTTATTCATTCTGATGAACATATCAACCTGGAAGAACTCCTTTGTGGTGCCTCTTACAGCCAGAAGTTCCCAGATATTAAGATTAAACTTCCAAAAAACAATTTAATCACTGTGCACAGATTGATTGAAAAATATCCTGATAAGCTCAAAGTCAGGGATACAAATGACAATATACATGAAGCTATACATAAGAACTCTCAAAAAGTGTTTGTAAATGGTGAGGAAGCAAATTGGGATGGCTTTTCATTCCTTTCACCTTCAGAATATAGCACTTGCTTTCTTATTGCTTTCCAGATGAAGTACACTGAATTGGATTCAGAACATTCTAAAAGAATTAATCAAGAACTGATTGATACTGAATATAAGAAAGCAGCAGAGGCATTTGAAATGTTAAAACAAAAAACACATATCAAGGAGTGGGTTTTTACCATTTTGTCTAATGCTAATCAGGTTAATACCCTGAATGTTATGGATCTTCCTGACAGATGTGCTGTAGTTGATCAAACAAATTTTCAGGCTTTCTATGGATACACATTTGCAAGTCGTGCACAATTTTCTGCAGGTTTGTCATCAATTATGGAGAGTTTTTTTTGAACTGTTATTCATGTATTATTGTTATTATTTTATAGCAAATGCCAAAATTCACATTAATTCCGCAAGATCTTATGAATTGAAACTCATACATGGTATTAGGCCCACAATAGTAGAAAAGATTGAGTCAGAAAGAAAAAGAAAGCCCTTTGATACAATGGATGATTTATTGGAACGTGTTCCTAAATTTCCTCCATCAGAGATCCATAATGTAGTGCCATGACACTGTTAACTTCACTTTCATTATAAATTTAGTGTTCAGATTAACTTCATATTACAGTTGGATGTGTTATCAATTCATTAATTGTTTTGTTAGGTGGTATACATGATCCTGCATATTATTTCTTAAAACATGTGTATTAGTAAAATATTATATATAATGAAGAATACATGATGGAATATTCAAACTGAATTTTCAAAAGAATTAAAAATTAAGTTTATTCATTCATTTTACTTTTTATTTTTTT